CGTATTAAAATATAGTTGCTTAACAACAGCTTGGAGCTACCTAATGTGGTATTTCAAGTTCACCTCAGCTTTTCTAAAGTAAATATGAAAGTAAAAATGGCAGCATTTCCAGCTAATGATGTGTGCAACTACGCAAAGATAATCTCGATATGTGCTACAGCTATGCTCATAAGCCAATAATTTTCACAACAGGAGGTCTGTTGATTGCCCTTGACATGGAAAGAATCCTAAATTTTAAGCACAGCTTTCTTCCTCCTTTGAATTCTTGTAGCTGTATGTTATGTTGTCAGCTTAATGCAATAGATTATTTTTGGTGAAACTAACCTTGTAATATTGTGACACCAATGAAATGTTTTATTTATTCAATAGCGAATAATTTTCTGGGTTTGCTTTACTTACATGTTGGAAGCGCTCTGGAAAAGTGTCACTGTAACATAAGATGGGGGAACACACAAAATGGAGTAGCTGGTATTTTAAAACACCTCGGTCAGACTGCAAAAACCTAGATAATAAGCCACGTAACTAAACCAGGGAAATTACATTCTTACCTTTTTAGATTTTTAACTTATGGTTAAGTGCACGTATCATATGCTGTGCTCAGAGCTGTTCTAAAGTCCAATCTGTTTGATCCCTTTCTCCTGCTTTTACTGACAGCAAGGGCTATGCCTGGATTACGGTTACTACTGTGCAAAAGACTCACAATAAAACCTGACAGTATATAAACATTTATCCAAATTGGACATTCATTAAAAGGGAATTCAATCCTTCTGGTCTCACGACAGATTTTAAATGAAGCTGAGCAATGCTGGTATCATTTTTTAATCAACTAAGAGTAAAAATGGAAAAACATTTATGCATAAAAACAAGCAAGAACACCAAGCTCAAAATTCATCAGAACAAGATGGATACATCAAAAGTAGATTGTCCTATGACATCTGAAAACTCTGGGACAGTAACCACAGTAGTGCTCTTTGGATGCATACATACAACCTGCTGTAATCTGGTTAACTGGGAATGATGTTTTGTTCACCGTGCATTTGTGAGTCTATTCTTTCACTCTGTTGTTAGAAAACTTATTCAGGTTTTATACTGCTTCCTTCGTGAAGGAGAAATGAAGGGCAGGAACAAATGGCAAAAGGAATATATCATCCTACATACTCAAATCTATAAAAAGTACATTAGAGTTCATTGCCAACACCAAGATTTCCAGTGCAAGTCTTAATGGCTTCTTTCAGAGCAGAAATTTAACAGTGCAATCCTCTTCTCCCCTCAAAAGTTTTAGCCACTCATTCATCCAGTGTTTTCCAGTCCTAAACGGGTAATCAGAAGAAAATGAAGGGACTATAAAGAAAAAAAAAAACCAACATAGAAGGATTCATGCCAAAAGAACCCCAACCCCAAAAACCCAGAGTGACTTGAAATAGGGTCTTGAAAATAAAATTCTACAGACTTCTGTACAAAAACTTCTTTTTTTCAAGCCTGCATTATGTAATACCCAGTTAAATGCCGATGTGTCACTGTTGACTACGTACTTGATTTGTTTTGTGTAAATAACAAATAAAAGCACCCTCACCATTCAGCTTAAATTCTCAAGAAGGCAACAGGGGAAAAAAAATTCAGCATACGGAGAAGCTAAATATGAAGTTTCCCTACTGTTGACCAACCCTATCCTTAAAACAAGCTCGTGTTAAACCATTCACAAAAATAAATACTGAAGTCACACCTTTAAAATAGCACAAACAACATCCAGAGTATCCTGCTTGTTACCTAACCACGCGGGAGAACTCTGCCAGTTTACATCCCCAGGCAAATTTTCACCAAGAGACAATGTGTAAAATGTAGAAGTTCAAACAAAAATGGAATTATACAATTTGAAACTATAACCTTTCCTATATTTTTTTCCTCTAGTTGTCAACTAAGTTAAAAAAAAAATCCCACGACTTCAGGACACCTCCTCTGTAGATGGATAAGAATGGAAGATGCATGAGCAGGGCTGCTTTAGACCTCTCACCCTTTACCAAGGCTGCATGCTAGTCCCACTCTCCACAATTACAGGTTCAAACTAGGTAAGGCATGTATCTCACAAAACAGAAAAAAGCTACAGAGCCAGTGCTCTACAACGTCCAGCTGCCAATGTCATTCATTACTGACTGCTGGAGTTCGACATGTGCTCATCTCCTCCTATTGTCCAACAAGAGCATGATGAATTTTGTCAACTCTAAAAGCTGCTTGAACTGCCAGTTGAGACTGACTGTGTTGACAGCATGGTTCATGAGGATACAGAAGAGGTCCAGGATGTAACTCAAATATGTATTAATTGCTATCAAATTGCTTTTTTTTTTTTGCTTTAACAATCATTAGCATATTTGTCCTTAAACGTGTACACACAAGAACAACTGCACTCCTGCCTATCAGCTACTAACACTCTTTAAACCTGACAAAGTGGGACGAAAGTAACTGCCTAAGCATATCAGCTACTAACAGTCTTTAAACCTGACAAAGTGGGACGAAAGTTTTTTGCTACATCAAGGACTTCTATCTGCAGCTGTTCCACATGGCAAATTCCCATTTCAGTAAATTGGTGCTCTGTTCCCAGAACAGATGCAAAATCAAACTCCCAAAGAGAATACACAATGCAGCTTGATTCTAAGAACAAAGTATCATTTCACTCTCTAAGTCTTCATAATTCTGTATTCAAATGATTCTTTTAATTGCAATGGGGATTCCATAACCCTTTCATTCTCAGGGAAAATTACTTTTCTTCTAGTTAGAGGACAAACACTGTACATCAATATTGTATTTTTCTGTATGCGTACATTCTAGCTGCTATTTCAGAGCATGGTTCTAGGCTACAGATAGAGAAACACCTGCATCCCGCTCACTACAGCACTGGTCCTGACAGAGACATACAGTCTGTTACCAAGGTAGAGATTCAAAATTTGAAGGTCAAATTAAAAGGTTTCTCTTCATTAATGACATACATATCAGTACCATAACAGGGATTCTGAACAAGCTGCTGCTTGCAGTGCTGAAGGTCCTTATAGAATTAAACAAAGCATTATAACTAGTTTAATCACCTTTTAAATTTTAAAATGTGTCTTCTCTTGCTGTATGAATTTTTATTGCCTTATACATGTATTTTCGTGTTGCACACTTCAAAGTACCCACTGAACTAAGCAGATGTTTAATTCCCAGAGAATGTGTCAATGCCTGAAACCTGCACAAGCAATGCAAATCTGTTACACATGGGAGCTAACAGATTCACAAATGATACCCGTATTTCCCTGTGGAAGAATAGCACAAGAGAAGGTGATGAAAAAATTTCACTCTGCTGGAAAGAATGAAAACTCAACACTCTGGCTCGTTTAGTTAAGAGGAAAAGCTTCTAACCGTTAGTCAGACTGCAGCATTAGAATCACAGCAAATAAACAAGAAATTGGCAAAGGCAGACAACAGGAAAGATCTTGAAAGTCAAATGAAAAAAAACCCAGCTCTCTTATGAGATATACTCCTGCAGATATTTAAAAGTTTACTCCATACAGTTTACTAAAACAGTCTGTTCAAAGAAATTAGCTAATAAATTTACCAGCCTAATTAAAAATTCTCATATATATCCATTTCTCCCTGCTATTAATTTGTATCATTTATGTCTGGTTTGAATATCCTGACAATGAAAAATGCTTAAATATTTGAGTGATATAATTCCCTTGTTAACAGCTCATGACACTTCCAAGAAAGACTGAAAAATCACACACCTGCTTTGAGGAAAAAAAAAACCAACAACAAAAAAACCCCACAACTTTAAAAAGTTTTATAATGGAAGTTGAAAAAAGTCATCATTTTTCCATAATTAATGACTCATAACATTTAATTCAAGAAGCATGCCATAAGAAAACATAAAATAAAGAGGGGAAATGAATGGTCACTGAAGCGTGTAAGAGTGAATGGGAAAAAGTTACCAGCACAGTATTAAAAATAAAAATCTTAGGAAAATTCTTCTGATGATAAGCAGACTTGCATCACCCTTTAAATCCATAAATTTCTACTTTCAAACCAGGCACATATGATTTTGTGACTTCTTTTTCTACTTTCAGTGGGATTTAGCAGCTTAACTCCCAAATCATTCAGGAAAGTTTCTGAGTATCTTAGGTGCTTTTTATTATTTATATTAGAGATGTCTACATATTTAGATGCTCAGTTTAGAATTTGGGCGTATAAGCGTCTTAGATATACCTTCTGTATGCCAGATACAATATCGTAGGAGTACAGGTTTTCATTTTGGACCGCTTCTATTTAAAAGATTGTTTGAATAGTTCAGAATTTCTTTTATTCTCATCTTTAGGAAGACGTTACAGTATTCCTTCTGCATATCACTCCCTTTTACTGGCCACTATATCTAGAATAGTTATATTTTTTGTTCTGGTTTTCTTTTCTGATATTCTTTTAAATAAATTCGAGATGGTCATACACGTTAACAGAAGTTCAGGAGCATAAAACTGTACAACAGCTATATAGCAGGTTCAGACAGCTATTACAGGCCATTTTATCTTTCAGTCATTAGACTTAAACTCTAAATCTTAAAACTACTAACTGAACTCTTCCTCTCTCTCAATCAACAGTGCGTACAGCTATTGTCAAAGCTGTACCCAAAGTAAAGGAACGCTTCTGGTATGCAGAGGAACATAAGATTTTAATATGTAAAAAAGAAAACATTAATCCTTACTTGTTTATATGATTAGAAAATAGAATATTGAAGATTTTTCTTATCTATAAAAGTAAACCAAATGTTGCTTTTTGTATTTCCGTATTTGTATTTATAAATATTACAGACTAGTAAAAAAAAAAACAAAAAACCACCAAACCATCAACTGTGAGGGATGCAATCAAATTGGAGGCAAATTCCATTGCTTTATAACATTCTAAGTCTAAATGTCTATTTTTTCTAACCCGTCTCCCTTGGACAGAAGGCTTTTTTCGCAACTTCTTCCCAAACGACTTACCGGCAGTGTTTATGTGATCCTGTTAAGGTTTCAATCACAAAGCATTCCCCTTCGTTGAGACAATATGCAAGATCCTTGTCTTTGCATGGCTTAAAGTGCTCAGATCGCTCAGTGGAATACGTTGTAGTATCTATGAAGAAAACAAAAAAAGGAAAGAAATGCTGTAAGGCTAAATATTGAATGTTCTTAAAGTATACGTTAAATAAATTTGATCAAACTGGTCTCACTAACATCAACTGATCAAGACAGACTAATTAACAGAAACCAAAAGCACAGGGCAAGCAAACTTCAATGTGACTGCGATATTATTTGCAATCAAGCTTCTTAAAAAGATTCATAAAAGGAATCTGGTATTTGGAAATATCAGCAGAAAAACAAACTAGACTGCAGCAAAGTTGAGTATAATTTCAACCACTTCCAATTTCCAAAGTATCCCTTCTAAAATGTAAACACAGCTATTTTGTATTCTTTAACTAGAACAGTATATGCATATTAATATACTGAAATATGTTTTTAAATAAAATACACTTTTTTCATGAAAAATGAGCAAACATAGTTAATATAGTGACAACCTAAAAAAACCAAAAACACCCAAACATGAAACCCAGGACAATGAAAGAAAAAACAAAGCCAAAAACCTAAGGACAATGCTAATTTGATTCACCAGTCATAAAAATTGGCCCAGAACTTAAACACAAGCAATGTGCCATAGATTGTTTCATTTCAGGTACATCATCTGTAAGTTTCTGTAGGTCCATCTGAACATCCCCCAGAGCACAGTTCAAAAAAAATTGATTACAGTTTGGACTATTGGCTGTAACTTTGGAATATGTAGTTAGATAATCTAATCTGGAATAGGTTGACAGCACGTCAGGGTGAACTATCATTCCTGTCTTCCAATATATCTCTTTAAAGAGAAGGTTTTTTTCTAATGAAGCGTCATTTTCAAAGTACACAATGACTTCCATAGAGCCATGGCTCAATCTTCATATACAGTCTTAATTCTCAAAGTTAAAATTCCTACTAACTTTGCAGGGACAAGGACCAGGATCTAATATACTAATGCATACTAGAATTATAAGAGAACATTTCATCATCTACCATACAGACTATCACAAAATATTCCACTGCCTGCTGTCAAAGGAACGAAGCTGTGCTCAATGGAACTTTGCAAACATGGAACTTTGCAAACTCAAAATTATATAAACACATTAACTTGCTTTCTGCTCATAACTCGATACAAAGTAAATGTCCGCCAAGCTAATACCAAAGTTGAAAACCAGAACACTGAAATACAATTCACCTGGAAGTATGGTTCTGCAAGAAAACTCAGGTAATTCCAAAAATCTTTCAAAGTAACTTTTTTCATTCTTAGTGTATTTTAAATAAAATAGTGCTAACAACTTTTCCTTGTTCTCCAGACTAAGTGAAGGAAGATTAATAAGAGACATTTGAAAAGAATAAGAAAATCCACATCCTAATCTTTGTATACAACACTTTTTTTTCCCCAGAGAGAAAATATTTTAGTTCAAAGTTTTCAGTGGAGACAAAAAAAAATCCTGGGAATAAACTCCAACAGTCTCCCTTCAAACGTTTTTGTAGATTCAGAATGAAAGGTCCTGCCATTTTCCCCGATAGCAGCACTTATGAAAAAGGTGCAGGCTATATAAAAACTACCATGTTTTTAATGACTGCAAGCAAACCCTGAAATGAAATGTATCAAATTGAATTTTGGAAATGATACAAGATGTTTGTAAATGCAAACAGTTACTATCACATCACTTGACATTTCAAGAATGATCTGGCTTTATGCAACAAAAATATCTTCAGGTAGAAAAAAGGTAGCCCAGTTACCTTTTAAGGTCGATTTTACACAGGAGCACTTAAATTACCATTTAAAGTTTGCTTAGGCAAAAAAAATTAAATATAAACAACAGTCATCAGACATAGAATCACAGAATAGTTTGGGTGGGAAGGGCCCTCTAAAGGTCATCTAGTCCAACCCCCCTGCTGTGGACAGGGACATCCTCAACTAGATGAGGTTGCTCAGAGCCCCATCCAACCTGACCTGGAATGTTTCCAGGGATGGGGCATCCACCACCTCTCGGGGCAACCTGGGCCAGTGCTTCACCACCCTCACCGTAAAACATTTCTTCCTTAGATCTAGTCTAAATCTACCCCCCTCTAGGTTAAAGCCATTCCCCCTTGTCCTGTCGCAACAGGCCCTGCTAAAAAGCATGATATTTCTATCCCTTTTGAATAAGGAAAACTGAAGATAATATTATTTGAATGCACTTGTGTTAATTACAAAAGGTAACTAAAACTGTTTGATGAGCAGCAACTCAACTTAATATGGCTTTAGAGAACAAAACACTTACATTCGTCAGCCTGTTCTGAAGAAACAATCTGTGCAAACACCTTTATGAAGGTAGTTGCATAACAGAGACCAAAGTCATCCGAGATGTCCCCAAAGCACAAGAGCAAAACTAAGGAGACACACAGTATCACAAAGCGTGTCTTCGAGGTAGTGACGTACTGAATTCTCAGAGCACAGTGTTTGAAGTGCAGGATACTCCGCTCCTACCATAACTAACTCAAAATAGCTTGTCAAGGTCAGCATTTTAAAGTTTCAGATTAAATATATTCTTCAGAGGTTTTCTTCTGTTTTATTTTAATCATTTCTCTGTTCAATAGTATTCAAGATTAAATCAAGTCCACAGCAGCAATTTTTGCCAATTCAGCAGTGTCAGAGCAGAGCTCAGACTGAGCACCGTGACATTTTATATTGGCAAAAGTGCCACTGAAGATACAGCTACAGCACAACTTAATTTGAGTACTAATGGAAATTACACCAGTAATTGGACCTCTCTGCTGACATAAATTGTTAACAAACTATGGTCAGCCATTGCAGCAAGCCAGCCTTCCAGGACTGGAGCTTCCGACACTTCCAGAGGAGTGATGTTGTGCTCTGCCCATGTGGAGCGATGCGGAGCTGGAGTCAAAACGCTCCGCTCAAAGCCCCGTCTGTTTTATTTATAAACAGGCATAAGCTGTGATACTTCATTTTCTCCACTTGGACATGATTTCAGGCTTTTCTTACATTGTTTTCAGTTCTGTCTCTGGTCTTTCAAATTAAGCACGACAGTTGTAGGTAACAACGATGCTGACAGCTTCTTATGACAGCCTAGGAAAGCACTCCTTATGGCAAAAAGTACACAGTAATTAGTACTTTTTTTTTTTTTTTTTAAATCAAATACATTCTCATTAAAAGTCAGTTTTAAGTTACAGCCTTTCCTGTCTTGGAAATATCTGTGCAAGTCTAGCCAGGTTGATGCCCATGGAAACATCTGTCTCTGTACAGCTGATCTCTGGTCTGCAAAGACCAGATGTCTTGGCTGCAAAGTTCATTCACTAACATTCAAAAGCTGTGTTACTAATTGATATCCTAGATATCCCCAGAGCTGTTTGGTATTTTCTGCTGGATATACTCACATACAGGATATGTGAGTTTTCTGAAAGGTTACAGTCCCGCTGTTATTTCATGTTGCACTCATGATGAAACAAAACTCTGTTACAGCTTCATTAAATATTGGAAAAAACTAAAATCTAAAAACTTGTTCTAAACAGAACTACAGAAAAACAAAACAACGGAAAACACTTAGAGGCTATACAGTTTTCTTGATTCTTTTTCTAATAAATAATAAATCCTATTGTCTTATTTTCCCC